ATCACTTTCCAGGCTCTATCTCTTGACTGTCGAAGGTATGGTGAGATGGAAAGAACGATAGTGACTATTTGTAACGGGTGAAAGAATTTTGAATCTGCTCCTTTCATTACTCTTTCTTGAAATAAGAACGCCTTCTAGCTCTCTTGAAAGTCTTTACTTCTCGATAGTTTTGTCTATATGCTCGTATGGCCTTGCTCCATCTTCCTCAAAAATTTTATGGTCCCTGTAAAGCACACTATGTTATCTGTCGCCTTCAGCCCTACATTTCTAACACTAGGTCTGTGAGTAGATATGTTGTGAGATTCATTTTTAGGCAAAAGAAGCCCTTTGGGTTAAGGAAATAAAAAAGTTTTATATGCACCCAGTGGAGACCTGTACAAAAAATCTAGAACATTTTTTCCTTTGTCCGTAGGTATTGCCAGGGCTAGACTTTCTGAGCATCTCTAGTTCGCGAAGAAGAGACTATACAAAATGACAGCGGTTGCATCAAAAAATTTTATTGATAAGAATAAATACCCTTTATGGCTTCTAAGCACAAATTTACCTAGAGCTTAATGGAGAAAAATAATCCAACGCAAAACCAATAACATTCTTAACTTTAAGTTACAGATATAACAACAAAATCAACAAATCTATAGAAATTATCTGAATCAAAACCGTATCACAACAGGGATTTGGCTATTTTGGACTTCCAAGCGCTTGACATAGCTTTAGTGCCAAGCGAACATTTGGAAGATGAAGGCCGTTCCAACAACTGTTCTTTGGCCAAACGAACAAATGAGCACACTTCCTGAGCCATTTCTGTCATTTCTCGGAAAAATTGTCGCTGTTCCTAAACAAAATTAGATTCGCTACAAACACTTTACATTGCATGGCGTCACACTGAATTTGAATAATAGACGTATCTACAAGCTGAACTGTTTCCAAAGGGGAGCTAAAAACAAAAAGGGGCTAGGAGATAATTTTGATACTAAAAAAGGTGTTTTCGGAACTACTGCAATTATTATATATGGTTCTGATGTAGAAACATCAAAAGCTGCAAAATTATTTTGATGATGTAAAAAATCAAAAAGTCAGAAGGCAAAGTCTAATAAGAAAAAAGAATCTTCCGAAAAAAATTACATACGGATTTTGACTAGATCTTGTCCGCCATGAAGATTACAAGAATAATAAAATCACAGCAAATACGTATTCTGATTTGTTATAATTTTCGTAGCAGATCAAGGCGTAATCAAGATTCGGTTACTTCGTTTGGATCTTTTTTGTTTCATAAAATCTTCCAAAGTATGATATTAAGTTCAATTTTGAAATAACAAAAAAGAACTATCGAACTGCGATACCTCAAAAAAAGTAAGGTGAATAATGTCGTACGAAATTTTGAAAAAAGCTGATAACGAGGAAACGTACCATACACAACAAGCGTAATTCATTCATAGCTTCAGAACTAGATTCACAAGCATGTGAGAACGGACAAGTTGGACTATCAGCATCTATTCGGCCATTATCATTGGATTCCTCCTCATCAAACCCCGTTAACTCCTCCTGAAAGAAAAGAAAGCAATTTAGCAGGTATGGGAAAAATGGAAAAAAAAATGTCGGTTCTTACAATTACGCAATCATCGGATAAGTCAGCAGGCCGAAATTCTTCTTTAACGTCAACCTCTTCAGCGGCGGAGTGCTGATGATCTTCTTCTCGCGCATGCATCCTATTGAAGCTTTCTTTCATGAACATTGGGTTTTGCTGTGAAGTTCCCTAAGAAAATCAATATAAAGTGTATACTGTAAAGTGATTCACCCTACCTGTTCTCTGCTGTCATTATCAGCTTCCA